AATGAAGGAAAATGATCCAACACTCTATGAGACAGAGGATCCTATAGGATTTGAGAAAAAACCAAAACCAAAACCAAAAACATGGATGTACAACACACTGTTCCTGAGTGGTTTAAAAGTGAAATGAGAATTATGAGAGCAGAATTTATGTCTAACAAGGCATAAATAATAAGCAGAACAGAAAAACTTGAATCAGCAATGGAAAGCTTCACCAAAGAAATGAAAGGGAGAACAACAGATTGGGAATGCAAATACACAGAAGTGAAAGACAAGTTATAAAAATAGAAACAAACAAACAAAAAAAAACCCCCAAGAATATCAAAAGAAAATATGCTCACTATGTAAACAAAATATAAGGATTTTGAAGACAAGATGGGTAGAAACAACCTAAGGTCTCCCAGAAGAACATGACAAGATGAAAATCTTAACTCCATAATGAAGTAGTAAAAGAGAGCCACCAAAAACTTCTGCACATAGAGAATGAAATTCCAACTGAAAAAATTCACACATACACTCCAGAAAAAACTCAAGGCTGCAACCTCCAATACACAGCGGTTAAATTTAATAATTCAATTCATAAACAACAAGTTCTGCAAGTATAGTACAAAACTATTCCACGCCCACTAGAAAAAGGAGGAGTGAATGGAATAATGTTTCCTGAAGAGTACTCAAATTCAGGATTCACATATGGTAACAAAACTGAGAACACAAAAGAAATTGAGGAATACTTTCAAAACTATAAAACACCCAAACTATCAGAAGACTAGATAGAGATATTAAATAACTCAATCTCAGAAAAGGAAATAAAACTAGCTGTTGTTGTTTGTCTTTCATTTTCAAAGAGGACCAATGACATCATGGGGTAAATTGGATTTAAGTAAGACTGAGTTACACAAAGCATCAGCCTCACTCTCTCTTCTAGAGTTATTATAATCCAATGGTGAGACGAAAGTCAGGATGAGTGGTGATGACCTGGGATCCAGGTGAAAGACCTTGGTTTATTTGATGTGTGACCAAGCTCAAAGCATTCCACAGTATCTGCTTTAGCCACCTTCATGCATTGGAACAAAGTGCTCTCATCTACCCATTCCACTGGGTAGAAGTCTGTCTTAACATGCTTGGATAGACATCCCCCTAACTCATGGATGGATTTGAGGACTGTTGGTTACCTTCAGCTTGATTTAGCCTATCTGCTGAGACAGTTTTCCTGGGGTGTGGCCACTGCACATGCTACAGTTTCTTGTAGCTACAGGTTAGATTGGGTGAAAGGTGAACACTAAAGGTGGATGAGCAGCCCTGAAAAGGGCTCAGCAAGCCCTCATATCAGAGGTGCTACAGCTAGCTGTAAAGGAATTACCAAATGAAAAAACCTCCTGAACCTGATGGATTCACAGGAGAATTCTATCAAACTTTGAAAGAACAGTTAGTACCCATCATTCACAAACTATTCTCAAAAATTGAGAAAGAACCCTACCATAATTCTTTTATGAGACAAATTTAATCCTGATAACTAAATCAGGGAAAGATAAATCAAATTTGCAATATATCATCTAAAAAATCATTACACTATGTCTATTTGTCTGCCTGAATACTCCCAATAGGCCACATATGATTAGTTTGGACCGAACTTTAAAATGAATACATTAGTAGTAGCATCGTCTCAGAAACCCTAAAATTCTGAAAGCATGCTTTAAGTCTGCATAGCAACTTTCAGTTGGAACACAGGTTCCAACCCCACTTTTCAAATTCAAGAAAAGCTTTGCAATCATTTAAATCAGTACTCCATTTAAATGCTGCAAAATGGATTGGTTCTGACCTCAAACAGCATTACTACAACATGCAGACAGAAACACACACACACACACACACACACACACACACACACACACACACAATGACTATGAAGGTCTTCTGAATATAAAGGTTTCTTGTATAAATCCTAGTGTCCACCTGGATAGCATATGTCTGAAAATGGAAAACTCTGACATACTCTACTGAAAAGAAACACATAGTCATTTGGACTTACTAATATCTTATATCCTCCTGAGCTTTGCAAAATGCCTGACATTTTCCTGGTGAAGGAATCTACCTGATCCATCTTTGTCAAAGTTGGGAGGCCTGAACCAGAATATCTACAATTTATATCAATGTTCATATGAGATGTCCAAGGGGAATAGGAGACTTTTTTACACCATCAAAACAGGCACATCTGATACAAAAAACTGATTTTTATTGCAACACAACTTCTAGAAAAATCCAAGTAACCTATATAAACTGGGAAAAGTTATGCCATAAAGGAACTGATTAAGGTCAAGCTTGATAAGATGCTGTCATGAAAGATTAAAGTGAGTCAACTAGATTAATGCTACTAAATTTGTATTTATATAATAGCTTTCACATTAAAGTATTTTTAAAACTACATACATACTTTACAACCCTCATGTGGAAATATAAGAAAGTCAACCATAGTAAATATTGAGGGATTTCACTACTCTTTTAAGACTGTCAGCTGCCTAGCCAGAGTTTGGTTGGAGCAACTATGTATTACCATCAAGCAAGGACTGCTAGAATCAGGCTATGCTCAGTAGGCATGGATTTTTCAGAGTATCAGATCCCAAAAAGTACACAGAAGTATAAAGACATGGTATTTGTTGAATTTGTAAAAAGGAATCTGATACCACCAATTGCTAAGTACATTGGTTGCCCAGAAATATTCCCTAGGATCCTATAGCTACTATATAGACCACATGGATTTGGTTAATTTCCCTCAAGCAATAGACTCAATGAAGGATAGGTAATAATCCTTGTTTTGTTCTATTTCATGGAGGGAAGAGTGTTCATTTGGAGACTGGTCCTTTTGCTTTCCCAGAAAACAGACTACAAATAATATCAAATGTGAGGAAAAGTTTTCACTGATGAATTTTCACAGGAGGCAATGAACCATTAGTAGTCAATTCAGACAATAAGATTAATGATTATAATGCACATACACATTTATTCATTAGGCCCATCAACAAACATAATCAGTATTTAATATATATATATAGTACACTATACTAGGTACTGTAGATGATAAAACTAGGAAGCATTAAACCTGTTTTGTTTGGTCATAGAAGGCATAACTAGGAATGAGGTCAGGAGGAAGGGAGGATTTAATAGAAGCAAATTTCAGTTCAACATTAATAAAAAGTTCCAAATAATTAAAGTTGTCTGAAAGTGCAAAGAATGGGATGCCTTAGGAAATACTTTATCACTGACGATAGAGTCTTCAAAGATAGACTGAATAACCACTTGTCAGGCATACTCAAATAGTTAAGAAATGGAATAGGAATTTAAGATCATTCATTCCAACCTTCATTACTTAGACCCAGAAATTGACATCCCCTTACCCACATACTCTGCAATCTAGGGACATTGGTCTCCTTGCTGTTCCTAGAACATGACACTCCACCTCCCTACTCTGCATTTTCACTGGCCATTCTTTATGTCTGGAATTGTTTCCCTCCTCATCTCTGTCTCCTGGTTTTCTTGGCTTCCTTCAAGACCCAGATTCTTCTAAAATCCTTTCCTGATTTCCCTTAATGCTAGTGTCTTCCTTCTGTTGATTATATCCAATTTATCCTATATTTATGTTGTTTGTATGTAGCTATTTGCATGATGCCTTCCCCCATTAGATTGAAACTGCTTTTTGCCTTTTCTTCTTATCCCTAGGCTTTAATACAGTGACTTGTTTGACTTGACTAATGATAATGATGGAAAAAAAATAAGGAAAGAAAATCTTACCAATGAAATATTTAAAAATAAAGAGAAGAAAGAAAACCTAAGAAGAAAGTTCAGAAGGGGACAAAGGCAAACAGGGAAGTTTTGGTAGTACTGTGTTAAATTTCCAACCATACTTAAAGTATAACAGGCCCAACCTGAGGAGATATGTATCAGAGGATTATACCTTAGTTTCCACAGCCTGCAGAATATGACTCCTTTAGTTCCTGACCTAGCTGACTGGTTGCTATGGTTATGTTGGAAGCAGAGAGGAACAGCATTTTATAGCCTTTTAATTTTGAGTGTACATTTTAAAAATTGTATTAAAGTTATTTTTATTATCTTTTATGGTCTACAAGTAGTTCTGTGCAAATTAGCCATTGAGTCTGAATCACAGGTCTGATCTAGGTCAGGTCTGGATTAATGACCTCTTTAGCAATATATTCTAAGAAATAAAGAAAATGGACCCAACTAATTGTCTTGTAGTAAGAGATCAACACGTATTTGTTGATGTTCATCATAGTTAAAGTTAGAAACTGATTAGAAACTACAGAGATGGGCAAAAAAGGGGGAAAATGTATTGCCTAGTTACATGAAAATTATGTTATCCTTTTACCTTTAAATAATAGAAGTTTAAAAATTGGAAATAAGGGGCATCATGCCATGGGGTGTACTCTTGTAATTCCATTATTTTTTCTCACCAAAAATCCCAGTCAGGTTTCAAATTATCTTCCCCTTTCCTTGCATGGGAAAGGTCCCAAACTGAAGGTCCCCTGTAATTAGAAACTACAGGGTTTTCTTCACCATATTCATATTCTTGCTTCTCTTTTGAAGCAAACTCTTCTGAGTTTGTGTTCTTCAATTGTTTTCAGTTATGTCCAACTCATGGTATTCCCATTTTGGGGTTTTCTTGGATAAGTACTAGAGTAGTTTGCCTTTTTCTTCTCAAAGTCATTTACAGATGAGGAAACTGAAGTAAACAGGGCTAAGTGACTTGCCCAGGGTCACATAGCTCGTAAATATCTGAGGCTGGATTTTAATTCAGAAAGAGGAGTCTGGCACTCTGTCTAGCCCTGGTGCTCTATACGGTCCATGGGGTCACAAAAAGTCAGATATGACTGAATGAACGAACAATAAAATTTCAATTGATGTGATTTTAAAATATAGTAAAATGATCCTAATTGAAATAAATAAGAAAAAAAAGAAAAGAAAGCTATATTTCCATAAAGTTATCTACTTACCTGACTTATTTTTCTTTGTTCTTGTAAAGCTTCTTGGATTGCCTGAGATACTTTTTCTTGATCCTTATCATGCTCAGCTTTCCATATTTCCTTCTCTTCAGCGTGAACTTTTTCCAAGTTTTTTCTTTCTTCTTCTACTGCTTTTAAAATAGCATCCTTCACTGTCTCTTTCTCAATCTTTGAAACAATAATGAAAGAAATAGTATTAAAAACAATTATTATTTGAAGAAGATAGTCATTTACTGAATGAGAACATTATCACAGATAGATGCTACTCTTAATTCTAATGAGGTTTACATATAGTTTTGTTTTGTGTACATGCTTTGTAAAACTAAAATTGTATCTACAATCATCATTGTAATATCATATCTATATTCACTCTATAAGTGTATTCAACAGAATTCCTGAGGTTTCTAAGATACATCTCCATTAATAAAGACTTCTATCAATGGATTAGGACTCACAAATGATCAGTGGCAACAGAAAGCAAAATAAAATCAGTTTGCACGTGTGAAGAGGACAGGGAAAGTGACAACATAAGGATTCTACTCACCACATGCTATAGTATTAGGTCTAAATTAAACATAAGGTTCTGCACATCTTAATTTCTGAACCCCTTAGTCTAAATTATTTTTAATCTCAGATGAGAGACCAATAGCCCAAGTTTATTTCAGGTGCCATATTGCATCCAAAGCCTTTCTTTATAAACTAGTTGTTAGGGTGCTCTTCCCCCTCAACTTATTTCATATTTCCTTCTATGTTAACATGTTATATACCCTAGTATTAAGTCCTTGATGTAAAGGACATTAAAAAATTGCCTTTGAATTTGTAAGGCATAGGGCCTTGCACAAAGACATGAATTAAAATAAACATAAGAGATAAATAAGGGGGAAATCCTCTTTCTAACATAAAGCTATTACAACAATAGACAGACAAAATTAATCAATTCACCTTTCTTAAATGTCACTCACTTATAAAGAAACCAATTATTATATATGGCAATACCTTTGCTGCATTTGCTAATGCATCTTTACTTCTTTGCATTTCTTCTGCCAAACACTTTCCCAATATTTCCTGCAAATCATAAAATGATTCAATAGATATTAGATTTATTACCTGAGGAAGCAAGGCCTATTTTTTCCAAACACATAGTATTTGGAATCTTACCTTCTGATCTTGAGACTGTTGAGTCAAAGTTTCTTTTAGTTTTTCTGTTAGTTGTTCCTTCTCTGCATCAAGCATATCCAGAAGCCTCTGATGCTTTAAGGAAAGATAATTAAATTATTGTTATGAATATGATGCAAGTAAGAGAGCTGCTAAACTCCAACTGCCAAAAAATAGCACAATTTCTAGCATACAGTAGGTATTTAATGAAGGCTTCTAACTTGACATGTAATGAGGTTGCTGGGTGGTAAAGTAGATAGAGTACTGGGTCTGAAGTCAGGAAGATACCTGAGTTCAAATCTGGCCTCAGACATTTATTAGCCGTGTAACTCTAGGTAAATCATTTAACTTTTGTTTGCCTCAATTTCCTCATCCGTAAAATGGGGATAAAAATAGTTTCCACCTCCCAGGGTGGTTGAGGAAGCAAATGAAATAATAAGTAAAGTACTTAGCACACAGTAAGCACTATATAAATGTTAGGTAGTATTATTGTTGTTGTTATTATTGATTTAAAACATAGGTATTATAAATTTATATACTGAAGTTTATCTAAATAGAATTTTAACAGCCAACCTCTTCCACAAAAAAACACAACTACCACATTAAATACCTTTCTCAAGTACTTTAATGTATATTTCTTAGTTCTTCATCAAACTATAGTATATGATATGAGACCCCCTGAAAGAGAACAACTCAAAATTGAAATGAGATGAATAAAATGGGGTCAGAATAGGAATTTGCTTTTCAAATCAAACTGAGAAAGACTGGAATAAATAGAGATGTTTAGCTTACAGCAAAAGAAATGATCAAATGCTGTTGACAGATAAAATAAATGAAGGGCAAATATCATCCTTTAAGTCATGTACTTTTCACAGTATTGTTGAATGGAAGTAAATATTCTATTAACTACAGTTTCTGCAGCATATTTTTTTTTTACCATAGACACATTAAGTTAAACCATAAGAGGCCAAGAGAATACTATGTGATACCCAATGCCACTCACTATTAAAGGACACAGAGCTAGATTATTAGCTTTCATTCCAATGTGCTAGGGAACACAAGGCCACATTACTTCTAGGGAACCTCAGCATTATACCCCAGTCACTGCTTGGCACTTGCTTATTTCGAGAGGCTAGAGATAAGATGGGAGTGATATGTCAGATGTGCCATGGGACCCAAGGCTGGACCTGCTGAAGGACAGGCAACCTTTCTCCCAACATTACTGTCCCTGAATCAGAGCAACTGTTCGCTGCACTCTCTCTAAATGGACTTTCCCCAGGTACCAGAATTGCTATTTAAGGGACCTCTCATTCCCATGATTCTCTTCTCACTAGCACATCATATGGTTATAGATTTAGAGCCAGAAAGGATCTTAGAAGCCAAACTCCTCATTTTAAGGCTACACAGGTAGTAAGCGACCAAGCCAGGTTGCTAAATCATGTTCTTTGAGCTCAGGCCCAGCCTTTTCCTCTCTGTACTATGCTCAAATTGTTACGCCATACTCATTCCCTCCTTCAAAGAATGACTTTCTAAGTTCTACTCTAAGAATACTCCTTTACTCATGATTTTCTGCATAGCTAAATTCTATCAGTCGAGGTTCAACTCAGTTCCTACATTCCTAAAGCCTTTCCAAACTATCCAGCAGTGGTTTTTTACATTTCCTTAATTCTTTTCATACTTTTTGTCCAAACCACCCAATTTATCATTTGGTTACATTATGTGCTGCACTCTTACCTAGTTTTGTGTCTAAACCTTGCTTCCCCAACAAAACTGTAGTGAACTCTTAAGAGTATGGGATGTTTCTTAAGACTTCTTTGATATTCCTCAATGTCTAGCACTGTGCTAGGTATATAATAAAAGTTCAACAAAGGTTTCTTGAATAAGCATTAGATTTAAAGCATATATAGCTAGTTCCTACTATTTGAGAGAGATCATTACTGAGTATAGTTAGCACTTAAGAGAATGGTTTTTCCTTGTGCAGAACAGGGTAAGCACAATTAATTCATGCTAAACTACCTTTTTCCATATTTTCTCTCCCATATGAACTTTCTGCTCAAGCCAAACTCATTTATTCACTGTGTTGCCTCTGCTATGATGTCCTTTGTACTTTTCTACTTTTACAGATTTGTTCAGGTAACTGGAGAAGTGTCATTCTCTCTTGCCCTCATCTTCCAGGACCTTGTTTTTTATCAAGTCTCTTCTGGCTCTAACATGGATCTGATTTCTCTTTTCTCTGAACTTCTGTATTATTTAATGTCTACATCATTCATTGGAAAATAAATATGTACTGTTATGTGACATATTAAAATATTATTTGCATTTTTATTGTTGATATTTGTTTGCCTTAGGGAAAACAGGGCCTGAGAAGAATATGATACCTCTAGGGGAGGCATAGTACATAAGGAGCTTGGACAGCCACCAGAGGAAAGAAGAATGTCATTCAGATGTTGGTGCTCTGAAACAAAGTCCTTTGGGTAGAAGCAACATCTTATCCACTCAGATTAGGCTAGTTTTTCCATTAAAAAAGGCAATGGAAGTGCCTTCAAAACTTGGTTAGCCCAAGATTTAGAGCCCCAATGTGGTGGAAAAGGAAAATGCCAACACCAGGACACTCCATATGCAGGCAATCTCCTGGGGCCAGACCTCTATGTGCTCCAGCATAGCCCAGGGCAAAAAAAGCAAATGACAACCCTATGGGTGTCTAACCAAACAGGCAGCTGCCAGTGCCTTGGGGCCCTGCCAATGTAGCCCTCGGCAAACAGCCAGCAGCCAGACCCCACATGCTTCAGTATAGCCTGGGGGAAAAGCAGAAACATCCCACTGGCCTCAGCGCACACCAGATACCACCACTAGGACCCTGTCTCACCACCAGGTATACTGTCAGACCCTTACAGCCTGCAGCAGCACTAGCCATCTCAAATCCCCAACCCCTCAGCACAAGACACAAGGGTCTCTCACGTGCCCCAAGGCAACATCAGTGCAGCACTAGGTAAACATCCAGGACCTGCAGCCACTTGCACAAGAAGACTGAGGGTATTGGTATAAGATGAATCTGAGTGAATGACCTAAAAAACATATGGGGTGAGAAAGAGGAACACACTGGGCACAGAAAGAAGACAGAGGTACAATGGGGTAAATTATTTCACGTGAAGTGGCATTAAAGACCTATTATAGTGGAGGGGAAAATGGGAGGGGTAGACGATGAGCATCACTTAAGTCTTACTCTCATTTAGGTTTTGATATACAGATATCTAGATAAATATATCTAGGTTTCTAGATATAGTAATATGCACATATATGTATATACACTCATATATGTATATATTCTTTTTTTAATTTATTTACTTATTTTTAGTTTTCAGCATTCACTTCCATAAGATTTTGAGTTCCAAATTTTCTCCCCATCTCTAACCTCACCCTACCCCAAGACAGAGTGCAATCTGATACAGGATCTACATATATATTCCTATTAAACATATTTTCACATTAGTCATGTTATAAATAAGAATTAGAATCAATAGGAAAAATCATAAGAAAGAAGAAACAAAAGAAAAGAGAAGGAAATAAAAAGAGTAAATTGTATGCTTCGAACAGCATTCAGACTCCATAGTTCTTTCTCTGGATTGGATAGCATTTTCCATCATGAGACTTTGATGTCACAGATCCTTGCATTGCTGAGAAGAGCTAAGTCTATCAAAGTTAGTCATTGCACAATGTGGATTACAATGTATATAAAGATATATATATATAAGAGCTGCTAGGGATTCTAATATGGCTCTGCAGAATTATTTCTGAGATGTTTGAGTTTGTATAATATATGTATATTAGATAGATAGATAGCTGGATAGATAGACAATAGATATCTGTGTACAATGTTCTCCTAGTTCTGTTCACTTCACTCAGCATCAGTCCATACAAGTCTTTCCAGGTTTTGCTGAAGTCCACCTGTTCATTATTTCTATTAACACAATAGTATTCCATTACATTCATACACCATATCCTGTTCAGCCATTCCCCAATTGATGGACATCTCAATTTCCAAATCTTAGACACCGCAGAAAGAGCTGCTATAACTATTTTTGCACAATGGGGCTTTTTCCCATTTTTATGATCTCTTTGGGATACAGGCCAAGAAGTGGTATTGCTGGGTCAAAGGATATGCACAGTTTTATAGCTCTTTAGGCATAATTCCAAATTGCTCTCCAAAATGGTTGGATCATTTCACAACTCTACCAACAATGCATTAGTGTTCCAATTTTCCCATATCTTCTCCAACATTTATCATTTTCCTGTTTTTTCATGTTAGCCAATCTGACAGATATGATGTGGTACCTAAGAGTAATTTTGATTTGCATTTCTCTAATCAATAGGGATTTAGATTATTTTTATATGACTATAGATAGCTTTAATTTCTTCCTCTGAAAACTGCCTGTTGATACCCTTTCACCATTTATCAATTGGGGAATAATTTGTATTCTTATAAATTTGACTCAGCTCTCTATATATTTTACAAATGATGCCTTTATCAGAGACATTAGTTGTATAAATTCTTTCTAGTTTTCTGCTTCCCTCCTAATCGTGGTTGTGTTGGCTTTGTTTGTGCAAAAACTTCAATTTAATGTAATCAAAATTATCCATTTTGCATTTCATAATGGTTTCTATCTCTTGTTTGGTCAAAACTTCTTCGCTTCTTCATAGATCTGACAAGTAAACTATTCCTTGCATTCCTAGTTTGCTTATAGTATAAGTCTTTATATCTAAATCATGTACCCATTTCAACTTTATCTTGGTATAGTGTGTAAGATGTTGGTCTATGCCCAGTTTCTGCCATACTATTCTCCAGTTTTCTCAGCAGTTTTTGTCAAATAGTGGGTTCTTATACCAGAAGCTTGAGTTTTTGGGTTTATCAAACAGTAGGTTACTGTGGTCATTGACTACCGTGTCTTGTGTACCTAACCTATTCCCTTGATCTACCACTCTATTTCTTAGGCAGTACCAAGTAATTTTGATGATTTCTGCTTTATAATACAATTTAAGATCTAGTATGGCTAGGCTACCTTCTCTTGCATTTCTTTTCATTAATTTCCTTGAAATTT